GCACGAAAATTCTGCAGCTGTGAGACTTTTGCACAAAGAAAATTTTTTCTCAGCAAAAGTGAGACCTAAAGCTGCCTTTCCTACATGGACACTCTTAATTCAGGAAAAAAAGGCCTTTGTGAAGGGGTTTCGCTCCCACTGTCTTTTTGGCTGTCATTTGAACCTAGAAGAGGCAACCTTCATAATAAATTATCTGGGGATTTCTCATCAGCATGTGTCTTATTTGCAAAATAATTACACATTTGGGATTTTATGTGCTGGGAGAAAAGTTTGTTTCAAAGAAGTTTTGTGGTTTTGGATGCTTACGGTTCTAAAACAGCTGTGAACCGTGTCTAGTTGAACGTCATCTGTTCGCAAACAAGACTGTTTTCTTCTATACAGAAGTGAGCTGTTTCAGCAATGTTTAATCAACCATCACTGACCTTTCTTCTCAAATGCTACAAATTCATTTTCAATAAATGTTTAACTACTGATTTCTAAAGGGAAAGGTTCACAACATGTAGAACCTACTTTTAATCTTACACTGATTTTATAGTTACCACACAGCATGGTTGCTGTAGGGCTGCATATGTGTTTTAGGAGGTTAAAATTTTTCATCTGTATTCCCAATGTCTTTTGACACTTGTGTTATCTCCTTTTTCATTTTGCTTCTGACATCTTTCTGTGTTGTCCTAAGATATATGAAAATACTGACAAAGAAGAAAAAAATTAAGCCCATAGTATAACACTGGCTAAGCTAGTGACCTTTTCTCTTAACAAATGCATGTTTGAGAATTGATCAGTATAATCTCAGGATATACCTATGCTGCAGTCTCTGGCTAGTACAGACAAACTTAGCTAGATAGCTTGGCTAGACAGCCAGATGTCCCAGCAGTGAACTCACTGCAGGCTGCAGATTCTGCCCAAAAAGCTGGGTAAGTATCAGGCAATTTATGGCACTAAGCTTTACGTTCTCACAACTTGTCTGCACTCGCCCATTAGATCTTAATCATTAATCAAGTCAACTTTCTACACTATAGTAGAATCCCAGAAATGACCAATGTATGCTCATATTCTAAGGCCAGAGGTGTAGAATGGGTTAACCTGTAGTATATTGAGTTGCCTTGATGGCAGAAGATTATGAACATGCGATGTCTGCTAAAAATAATTACACTACTTCCCCACAGTGGAAAATGCAGATCTGGATGGACCAGTGCGAAACCAGCATCCTTTCAAATGATTGCTATTTCAGTTCACAGCTCGCTTGTTTCTACCTGGCTTCCACGGTAGGAATGGAGGAGTAAAACTCTTGTCCCACTCACCTCACCAACTCCAAAAGGGCACAGGTTTCAGCTCAGAACTTGAGGAGAGTATGCATAGGCCTGTGCATAAGGTGAAAGAGGATAGTTCTCCTCAGGCATGGATACCAAAACCTTAGGTTGTGACCATTTTGAACTGATCTTGGCTATTTTACACTGAAGTACAGCTCTTCCTGCAGGTTACTGATGTATTTGTTAGGGTCTTCACGATTAAGGTAAATTGCCCCAAATCAGCAGCTCTGGAGTTTGTTACCATAACTCATATATTCCCAGGCTGTTCAAGCCTGTTTGCTTCTACCCAGTTTAAGTGCACTTATCCAAAATTTTGTGCGATCTTTGCTATTAATTGTTCTCAACTATTCAGACTGAAGTAGCAACTATAGGTGGTTGTAAAGCATTGTTTACCCTTAAAGAAAGAGCTAATTTCAACGTTTTGTAGATTTTCCAAAATCCACCTGCTGCTCCAAGCACATTTTTATGATGCTGGGCTGGTAACAGCTTGCCAAAGACTGAGATACCCCATTCGGAAGAGCATTACCCACTTGTATCTAATATCTTCAGGATTGTCTATAATTCTGGACATGGCTAAATTAGGCCAAAGTTGTGTGCAGTTGCAGGAGAAGACATTTATACATACCTTTGAAGTATGTAATGTATAGATACGCAATGTGCTTTGCATGAAGAAAGAATATATATATGCAAAGAGGTGCACATTTTAAAAGATTTTTGCCCTGCATTTGACACCACCTGGAATGATTTCAGTCTGCGGTTTCAAATTTTAGGATTTGAGACTGTGCTTATCCAACTCATGGATGTATTCTACTGAAAAGTGATCAGAATTTCTTGGATTTATCTCCTTAGATAATGCAAATATAAAATGATGGGTAGTACACAAATCTACACTGTATAGAGATATCCAGATTTGTATTTGTCAAATTGTGTGAAAGTGTGTCTCTAGGGTCAGGCATTGGGTGAACTTGGTTTCACTTACTAGTGCCTGGATTTTTCTGATCCAACATTAGCAACAAAACATATTGCTTGGTTTTGCTGTACAGTCAGGAAGGCTGGAGTCAAAAGCAGTGACATTCAGGAGGGTCTACGTTCTTAGGTGTGTTTTGCAGCAGTATTTGTATAAGGTGCATTAATTTCTAGCTTTTGGAGCGGGACTTGGGCTAAATCTTTCTATTGAACAGGTTTGGAGAGTTTGTTACAAAAATCTCATTGGGTCCAGTTGCCAGCGGCGGTTTCCCTGCAGCTTTTGTGCCATTTTATGGTGTTAGATGCGTCGATGCATGTGGGGTTAGCATGATCTCTTTAAACAGAAGAAGTTAATACTTGATGGAATTGGTTACTAAATGTGTGTTTTTCCTGTGCCGCTGGGTCAGGATAAGAGCGTTCCGGTGAGGCAGGAGATACTAACCTTGCTCGGCAGGTTGTGTGCAGTTCACCATAACCCACATGCCAGACTCGGCGTTTTGCAATCGGGCGGTGAAACGAAGCGGACTTCTGAGTTTTTGGGCACGCTTTCAGGAGGATGAGCACCCAAGTGCGAGCGCTGCAAACACGAAGAGCTACCACGACCCGTGTCTCGATTCGCTTTCTGTGCCATTCACACACACTCAAGCATCGGTTCCCCCCCCGGTGCACGGGAATGAGACACGCTTCGGTAAAAAAAAAAAAAGGGTGCTTGAGGGGTTTCCCCGCCGCGGTGATTTTAGGGGGGCCGGGGGGGAGGTGGGGTGGGGTCCATCTCCTCATCCTCATCTCCATCCTCGCCTTCC